CTGGTGGGACCACAAAACAGACAAAGTAATAGAAAATGAAGAAGCTAAAGTGCTCTGGTACTTTAGAATTCAAACAGACAAGCACCTGCCACACAACACCCCAGAATTGTTAATAAGAAAGGCAAAAAAGTCTGGATAGTGGACATTGGAATACCTGGAGATAGCAGAAGAGAAGAGAAAGAACTGGAGAAAATCACAAAATATAAAGACCAGCAAACAAAAGTAGAAAGACTATGGCAAAAGAAAGCAAAGATGGTACCAACAGTAACAGGCACCTTGGGTGCAATCCCAAAACATCTGGAGCACCTCTATGAAGACCATTGGCATTGACAAAATCACCATCAGTCAATTGCAAAAGGCAGCTTTACCTGGAACAGCTTATATCCTGCAACAATACCTTTAACACTATCAAACAACATCTGCCTATCCCAGGTCCTGGGGAAGGACTTGATAGGTGTATAAAAATACCAAATCCAGTCTAAATATCTGGCTGAGTGTGTGACCAACCACAATAATCTTGCCTTTTTGATATATAACTCAAGGCGGTGAACATACCTAATATTTCTGCCTCCTATTTTCCCCCAAAAACCCTGTGAGGTAGATTGGGCTGAGAGAGAGTAACCGGCTCAAAGTCACCCAACTGGCTTTCATGCCTAAGGCAGGATTAGAACTCATAGTCTCCTGGTTTCTAGACCAGCACCTGAACCACTATACCAAACTGGCTATCAAAATAATCTGATTACATATGACTCCTCCCAAATAAAGAGACATAACACATAGCTGAAGAGCTATGTTTTGTACACATGACTGGCACCAATACCCTCGCACATATTTCTGTTACTTCTGCTTGTGTCTGATCAGTTTAATAGAATCTTTGACAGAAGTAAGGAATTTTTTGAAGAGCTGAAAACACTGAGGGATGATTCTTTCTTTCAATAAACCCTCAACATGGTTAACAAATTGTTCTTGACATTGTTAATGTTTATGCTGCATGTTGTTCTTATTATTTGAAAATGTATATGGAATTATAAACCTAACTAAGGACATGTTGTGAAAATTGGTATAAGAACAATATCAACATAACTTGGAAAGAATTTAAACAGGGAAGGTGCTTCTATCCCAAGTCATTTAACATCTACAAGTCAATGTGAGATGTAAAGTTGCATCTTAAGAGGTTAAGTTGTTGGTGGATGAGTGGGAATATGTTGTGTGTTGGGGCACCAAGTGTCCCTGTGTGGATTTTTTTTTTACTGTTTTTGTTGTTGT